TCTCCCATCCCACCTACGGTCCACGGGCAGCTGGGAGCATTTCCCACCCAGGACAGCCTGTCCTCCAGCTTCCCTTTGTGTTTATCTTTAGGATGAGATAAAATCTCCACATGCAGCACTCCAGGCGCAGCCGCTGCTCCCACGAGCCAAACTGGGGTTCATGGCCAGAACTCCCCACACCCCAGCTCTGCTTCTCCCATGGGAGGCCAAGCTCAGACCCATCTCAGTTCTGTCCCAGCCCCAGCCCCAGCTCCCAAGTGTGGGACTGCAGTGGGCACCCCTGGTCTGGGATGGGCACTGTTGGGCCCAGGCTTCATGCACAGCAGCACGTCATTTAGCCAACAAAACCTTTCAAGACAACCCTCCCAGAGAACCATGTGATCCATTTCCCCCTACCTTGTGGAGCTTTAACCACCACATCTCCCTGTCCTGCTTTTCTCAAACGCAATGAGAAAAGACAGCTGGGGGCTGGGACCCCCATGGGGTGCAGTGGGTCAGAGGGGAGGTCTGGCCCAGGGAGCGATGAAGAACAATGAGCAGCTCTCCCAGGAGACAGAACGGTCACCCCATGGCATGGGGACAGGGTAGGAGTTCCAGGAGGGATGGGAATGAGGGTTCTCTTGCAGGCAGGGCAAACAGTGGGGGCCACACCAGCCCCCAGCTCTGGCAGCACCAACCCTCCAGACATCAGTCCCAAGAGCAAAGGGAGTTCCAAAGAACCCCGAAGGAGTTAATGGCACAACGAGCACTGCTTTCCCTGTCAGGAACATTCCTCAGCCCCTCGATGATGCACGGCCCTGCTTTAGAGCATTTGTTACTGGGCTCTGCTGAGCCAGGCCTCCAGCTGCTCAGCGCCTGGGTTAAAAATAACCAGCAGCTCCACTGCTTCAGAGCTGGGTCCTGATAAAATAAACATTAGCACAGCTATTCCTGAAGGTCACTCCCATCCATCTGAGCCTCAGCAGAGCAAGGCTGCTCCGACGAGAAACGAGCTCGGAACAGACTCCAAACGCTGTGGTTACGGTTTGGCGGCGGGGGTTGGCTCTCAGGTTTGTCCTCCATTATCCACAGAACTGGGGTCAGCTTCCCTGTGCCCATCCTGGATCACTGACATGGTCCTGTGCTGCATCCACCTCCCTGTGCTCATCCCGGGTCACTGATGTGGTCCCACGTTGCATCCATCAGACCCTCTCACACTCTTGCTGCGCGAGCAGTAAATTATGAATTAAATATTTCCAGCATCCACTGTGTGGGAGGGTTTGTAATTCAGCACTAGCCCAAGTGCCAAAGCCAGGCGGGAGCATTCACGTGTCAGGGAGGTTACGGATACACCTCGGCTCGCTGGAGATGCTGACTTGCCAAGAACTGACTGTAAACTCATTTTAGACTTGAGGACCTTTAACTTACCTTCATTGATGGATCAAAACTAGAACAAACTCCCATAAATCAGAGCTTCCACAGGAACAAATCTGTGGGATTTCCAAACGCCGCTGCCCCTCCAAAGGTCTCCCTCCTCCCCCACCCATGGACACATTTCTACCCTCCTTGAGCCAATGAGACACCTGAGGCACCACCAAACAGCGAAAGACCCATAAACCCCACACGGCAGGAGGTCCCGCTCTGCCCTTGCAGGAAGCCACCCTCTCTTCCATGGCCATGGGATGTGCAGGAGACACCATGAAGAGATGGTGTCTGCCCCTCCAGCATGGCCATCCCGTGGAGTTGTAACTCCCAGAGCCTTTCTGTGCCTGCCTGTTCCCTTCACGCAGCCTCCCAGGGGAGCAGCCCCTGGTTCGTCCCTCCCTGGGGTCCCCATCCTGCGCCTCACAGCAGGCTGGGCTGACACACAAACAGTAAGGACTGGTGAGAGTCAGCTGGGTGCTGGCAGCAGAGCGATGTGCTGACAGTCAGCCACTTGTCTCTTCCTAGAAAGAAGAAACAAGACTTAGGTCTTAGAAAGAAGGGACAAGACTTAGCTCTTCCCAGAATGAAAAAACAAGACTTAGCTCTTCTCAGAAAGAAGGGACAAGACTTATCTCTCCCAAAAAGAACTGACAAGACCCTAAATCTGTTTCTGATTAACTAGTAGTTGTCACACAGATTTGCTCTGTCAGCAGCAGAGTGACACTGGGCCACCATGAGCCAGCCAGGCTGCAACCCATCACATCCCTGAGCCAAGGGACATGGATTTGCAAACCCAGAATCCAGCCTTGATGGGATGTAGAACATCAGCCCCTCAGGCTGCTCTCTGCTGAGGGGGCATTTCTGTGCCCAAAGTGCTCATTTTCTTTTAACATCCCCATCCAGGGGCTGCCCTGTGCTGGCTGGTCCCTGGAATCCCCTGCCTGCTCCTGAGGTTTCCCAGAGGAGATCCTGGGTGTTTCCTCCTGCTGCTGCTGGGCTGGTCAGAACACACCACACCTGTTTGATGCTTCTCAGTCTCCCAAGACAAACATTAATCTTCCCTTGAAGAACATCAGAAAAACTGTGAAGACACACACAGACAGAGTTTAAGGTGAAGAAAAATGTTTCATAGTTAACTCAGTCTGAGGAAACACATGAAGCAACTGGGTGTCCTGTTTTAACACATCCTTTCCTCCTCCATTCCCTGGACAGCACACAAAAAGCCTCAAACCCTGCAGCAGTCGATGGCTGTCATCTGCTGTGGCCATCAGTGGGACAGATGATCTCTCTGGGACAGCTGCTTCACTGAAAAACACAGCAGAAACCAGGCAGGTCAGTAACAAGGGGATGCCTGGCACAGGATTTGGGGCACTTCCCCAGTGCTGCTGCTCTCTCCCAGGTGAAGCTCACCTCCACTCCATGCCTTCCCCCTGCCCACTGCCCTGGGTATCTCACAGCCAGGAGCACTGATCCACGTTCTGGACCAGCACAACCACAGTTTCATCTGCTCCAGCACCCACGGAGGCCTGTGAGGCCACTGGCCTTTATTAAACTTCTGGCTAAATGTTGTTATGTAAAGCCGCTACTGAAAATACAAATAAAGAAACCAATTCCTATCTACTGCTGCCTTCTAGCAGACAGGACAGAGGCAGTGGATGCCTGTGGCACATCCCAAAGCCAGTGAAATCACTGGCAAATATGTGTCCCGGCCTCAGTCCAGCAGACCGGCGCCGTGTCTGCAGTGACATTTCACCCAATTGTTTTATCAGGTCTTTTTTTTTTTTTCAGATGGCATGAGACACATTTTATGCTTTTTCTATCTAATCCCGAAGATAAACACACATGAAGTTTGGAACTGACCAGGGAACATAGCAACATTTGGCCCAAATAAGCAGATGGATGAAGCCCAC